TGGCACGCCAGAGGCCAGCCGAGGACGCAAAGGGCAGCTCGGCGCAACGGCCACCGATACCGTGAAGAAATCTGACCGGCTCAAGCTCCCTTCCGGAGAAAGATTAATTTATTGCCCTGCGCCGGCCCTGCTGGGGCAGGAAGGCTCCTGTGGGGCCAAGCTGCTGTTTGCTTACTACTGTTATACAGAGAGAAATGAAGTTTGTGCTGTAGAGTGTCCCCATTAAAAGAAAGTGTTTGTTTTTTCATACAGCCTTGGAAGGCTTTGTCCCTCTTGCTTGCAGGGGCATTTTTCACAATACCCTGCGCTGTGCTGGAGCCGCTTTCCCAGCACAAGGCAGGGTTTGTTCGCTGGCTCTTGTGAACAAGCTGTCCCTGCACACGAAGAAGAAAGTGCCGCGCGGACCTCGGTCACTCAGCCAGACAAGCTGATCAGAGGGGGACAGCTTCAACTACCGTACGCAAACAGGGGCGTCAGGCATTCCTTTAAATCAACTTTTTCTAACGCAGCTTCAGCCCCAGCAGAAATCAGGGCCATTCCCACGCAACGCGGCAGCGAGGGATCCTGCTCTCCAGGCAGCTGCACTCGGAGAGCCTTTTGGGCTGGGACATACCCCCCAAGCACCCCGCAAACGCTGCCCCTCCGAAGGCGGCGCCCACGGCCCCACACCCGGCTGGCCCCCCGGCTCCAGGCCCCCACGGCCCCTGGGCTCGAGCGAGCTTCTCAAACTAGAAACACCCACACTAGAGCGACTTTCTCTAGTAAACATAAACTTTATTTCATTCAAGGCAAAGCTAACTAAACCTCTACAGTGCAAAAATGTGCTGTAAGTCATCCCACAGCATGTGGTACACATCCTGTGTTTACTCGCAGGTATCTCCTAGGTGTATTTATATATGCTTATACACATACGCGTCTGTCGCAGCACGCGCCTCCGGCAGGGCCTTCTCCCCCGCGTGCCCCGGAAAGCCTCAGCAGACCCCCCCAAAGCCCTTGTGACGGCAGGGACCCCCCCAGGAGCTGGCACAAGCTCCCAAGCCAGCCCGCTGCCCCGGAGCCCCCTGCGCTGCGTACAGCACCCGCACACATATGCATATAGAGTTTCATTCCAAAAACTGGTTATGTTGACTTTTTCCATCAAGCCAGAGGAGTAATCCATGCATAGTACAGCATTGCATATCCTGTGGTAAGTGGAACCGTGTCCAGATACCGTCTAAAAAAGGCCAACAGGTTAGGAGAGCTAAAAATAGTTCTTTAAAAAAAATCCCTTCCTCCCCTCACTGTCCTCTCCCACAGGAGGTCTCCTCCAAGGATGGGCTGGGGGGGCGGGGTATCTCTTGGGGCAGCCGGGAGGTTTCACGCCTTCCTGCCCAGACTCTCACGTGTGACAATGGTATGTTAACAATACTTGGCATTTACAGAGTGCCCTTCGCCCCAGGACCTCGGAGCACTTGGCAAAGCGATGCAGGGAGCCTCACACCTCCTGTGAGGTAGGTCAGATTTACCGTCCCCATTTTACAGACGGGGAAACTGAAGCACAGAGAAGTCAAAGTGATCTGCCTGAGGGTCCCACGGATCCTCAGGGAGGGGACCGGGATTCCAGGGACCCGTCTAACCAGCAGCCAAAGAAACCTGCCTGTCCCTGTCTCCCGAACGCACGGCCTCGCTCCGGCGGGTGCCCCTGAGCCCGGCTCGGGTGCGGCCAGCTGGCCGTGACCCCAGGCGGAGGCTGCAAGGTGCTCTCCACTCCACCGCCCCCACAAGCGGGCAGGAGGGGTCCGACCTCTCCCACAGAAGGAAGCCCCTAACCTTCCCTTGTTTGCCTGGCCCACCAAATCCTCGCCTGCCTTCCCCACCGGCACCTCTGTCAGGGTGCAAGCCCCCGCAGCCGGGGAAGTCAGCGTTCAGCTTTGATTCCCAATTTCGAGTGGGGACGGGGGAGCTGCCTGTCCTGCAGCTTCACTGACAGACACCCACAAATGCAGGAGAAACAGGGAACAAGTGACATTGTAAAAGACATTGTCACCTTCAGCTGCAGGATCAGCTCATTCCCTTCGTGTCTCATGTTCTGCTACAGCCCTCGGGAAAGGGGCTGGATTGCCCGAGTCCCCGCTACAGGTACCCCTTGGAAAGACCCTCTGGCTTTCTGCAGCACTCCTCCTCTGAGGATCTCAAAGTACTTTACCAATGTTAGCCAAGGAAGCCTCACAACCACCCCTGTGAGGTAGAGCAGTATTATTATCCCCATTTTACAGATGGGAAAACTGAGGCACGGAGAGGCAGAGCGACTTGCCCAAGGTCACCCAGCGGGCCGGCGGCAGGCCCGGGAGCGGGCTGGCACAGCCCTCGCCCAGCTCCCCTCACCAGGGCTCGACCGTGCTCCCTCCCTGCATCGTGGATGGAGTGCCACCGTTTCCCTCGGGTGAAAGGGAAACACAATCAGCCGTTCTCCCACTGGAGTCTAATATAAAAAATATCCGCCTAACGAGTAAAGCCTTGGCGAGTCATCATCGAAAGCGTGGCTGCTCTGAGTGCCGAGCTTTAAAAAGAGGGGAGGAGGAGCGAGAGCAGCCGCAGCACAAACCCAGGGAGCTCCTCCCGAGAAGGCTGGCTGGGGGAGAAGCCCCGCGCTGCCCCCGGGGAACGGCCCCGTGCAGGGGTAAAGGGAACGTGAAACGCGGAGCTTCACCCTGCCG